CCCTCAGCCAGGTAGGGGTCACCTCGCTGGGCAGGGAGGTGGCCTGTCTCCACATGGGACCACTTGCCAGAGGAATTGCAGCCTGGTGAGGTGCTCCGGGAGGTGGGAATGTGGAGCTGGGCTGTTCCTGTGCCGGGGGGGTGCTGAGCTGCTGCTCCTCTCCAGGCGAACACGGAACCGCCGAAGCTGAGCCGAGAGGAGCAGCGGGGCCGTGGGGCCCTCTTGCAGGACATCTGTAAAGGGACCAAGCTCAGGAAAGTGACCCAAATCAATGACCGGAGTGCACCCATCCTGGAAAGTGAGTCCCCGGGTGGCTCCCGGCCCCATGCTGGGTGCTGCCTGGCCCTTCAGGGCGCTTGCCCATCTGGTTCCCAGCAGCTCCTCATTGGAGGAGCGGATAATTCCAGGCTTAACCTCTTTGCCTCCCTCCTTTCAGAGCCCAAGGGCAGCGGTGGCAGCAGCTACAGCTCCGGCTCAGCCGCCATCCAGCCCAAGGGCGGCCTCTTCCAAGGTGGCGTTCCCAAGCTCAGACCTGTGGGAGCCAAGGACAGCTCAGGTAATGGCCACAGGCCTGTGGTCTGCGTGGGGGTCCCTGGGGAGGGTCCTGAGCAGGAAGGGGTTGAGGATCTCACTGCGTATCCCTGGGGAATTCAGCTGCTCAGAGGCAGAACCCCAAATCACATCCCAGCTGTGCCCTCCCTGAGCTTCAGTCCCACACACAGACCTCTTGGAGGATGCAGGAGTTTTGTGTATTCCTAAACTCTGTGTTCTCTGTCATGGCCACAGAGGAGAGGGGTGAGAGAGGAGCCGTGTGTGGCTGTGCTCAGTACCAGCTCCCTGCCTGTGCCAGACAGCCGTCCCTGTGGCCTGGCCCTCCTCTGCCATGGCTCTGTGCAGGGACAGAGGGCACTGCTCCCGTGTCGTGCCCTTCACTGTGCTCTTCTTCCCCACAGACAGCTCCACTAAACAAACACTGCAAGTCCCTGGCTCCCGAGCAGCTGCTCCCAGGCCCCCCGTGCCAGCCAGCAACAGCCGCCCTCAGGAGGATGCTGACAGCAGCCGGGGGTCCCCACCGGAACTGCCGCGCACGCAGAGGCCCTCCCTGCCTGACCTGTCCCGGCCCGGCAGCACCGGCAGCACCGGCA